TTTGAATACAGCTTTGCACTGATATAGCACAGCAGTTGGTAAAACATGTGAGTGATGAGAATCCAATTCATTTGTCAAAAGATAGATTGAGAAAAAGATTATTAATAAAGCTCAGCTGTTTGAACACACATCTCTCAGCAAGTAATTATTGTGTAGTATATTTTGCAATTGCTCTATTTTAAATCTTAGCAGAACAGAACACTCATACCTTTTGTTGTAACAACAGCTGCCATTGGGAAGCCATTACCTATTCCTTTTGCCAAAGTAACAATGTCAGGCACTACATCATGTGTTTGAAATCCCCAGAAATGGCTGCCTGTTCGTCCAAATCCTGTCTGTACCTTTCAAAGGAAAAATTCAGAGAAATCTCCATCATTTTCTCAAGCTTTACAACATAGATTCTTGTCTTTCTATTGTTACTGATTTGCATTAAACTGAAACTACATCTGGAGTCAACATCTATTAAGATACTTAATCAGATGGCTCTGCACAAAATACTACTTATTGTAATTGGGTTTTTCTTTCATATGATAACCTGTCATCATGTCTTAGGCCTGGTGAGATGCACAAATAAGATGGAGCTTCCCCTACAAAATGGACAGGAAATGTAGACGTTTATCACATTCAGAAACAAACTTATGATTGCTGATTTCTGCTACTGCAATGCTTTGGGTATCTCTCATAGTCACTTTGAAGCATTTGCTACTATTGAAAAATAGCTTTAGCTAAGAAAATCCTACTTCTATAAGATATTTGCAGAGGTACAGCAATCGTCTCTCTTCTATAGTTTATGTATGTCAACAACACTCTTAAGAGGAATGGTTATTGTGACAAACCTCACTGCTGGCATTTATTAACTGCACGTTTGTGCAAATTTACTGCTCCCAAAAGGTAAGGACTGAAGTCTGCTATGAGCATTACCTTTGTCTAAATTCAGAATAAGGGCAGTAAAATCTGGGTGGTTCCTATGCTTGGAACGATGGACCGTGTTGAACTTAAGCTATGAAATGCACAGCATTTCATTGAAATTATTTCCAGGCTTTGTTTGGATTCTTTTAAGAAACTCTGACAAACACACCAAACTCTAGAGCTCTTATGTAAAAAAAAAGCAACTCACTTCATCCGAA